GGGTGCCTGGCTCCATCCAGGACTGCCGCGGGTGAGTCTGGGGGGACCCAAAACACACGCGGAGGCCAGCTGGAAAGTGGGGGGACATAAGGACCCCCGAGGCACATCCCAGCACCCAGGGTGAAGCCACCACCCCCAGGAGCCCCCCTCGCCCCAGGCGGGCGCAGCACCCCACGAGCGCGGTGGTCTGCAAATATCTTCCCATAAAAAAAAAAAAATAAATTAAAAAAAAGAAATTCGAGGGCAGGTATGCACGGAACTTCCTCAGCGTCCGCCTTTGCTGTTTGAGAGTGAGGAGAAGAGACAGGCAGTATAAATTGCACGGCTGCAAAAGGACTTAAAAAAACCCATCTCTCATTTTGATTGATATTAGCTTCACAAATTAAGCTTTAGATTTATCTAAAAATAAATTTGCTTCCGCGCTCCGCATTCTGGATGACAAGTGCTTTTCTCTTCCCTTTGTTGGGTTTGTCATCGCTGGCAAGGCAGCACGATGGGAGGGCGGGAGGGGGCCGTGCCCAAGCCCCCCCCCCTCCACGGCCATGCCTGAAGGCAGAGGGTGCGATAGCTGGGGGCTTTGCAGGGCAGGGTGTAAAGGGGCCAAACGCAAGCCCTGCAGCCCGGGAGGTGGCAGAGGGACCCTGTGCCAGGATGTCACCGTCGTGGCCGCCGTGTCCCCAAGCCCACAGAGCCACGGCGGGGTTCAGCGGGATGGCACAGGGCGCTGGGGCACGGCCATGTCCCCACCCTTCCTGCACCCCAACCGCTTTAATCCCCGCTCACACGCGGCCCCCCGGCTCTGGGACATCAGAGTTTGCACAAAAGGGGGGGGGAAAAATCGGTTTATCTCCAATTACACTGGAAAACCCCGTCTCTGGTGCCACAGATGGAGCCGGTTGTGCCGGCGGCCGAGGCCTGTGCCAGGGAACCCCCCGCCGCCCCGCGCTGCCCCGCCGGGGGGGGCCTGGCTGGGCCAAAGCAAAGTTTATCATTTTCAAATACCAGGCGGCGTGAAAGCGGGAGCGGGCTCAGCGCCTCATTCGATTATGCAGCGTGAGCCGAGAGCTGAAACCACAGCCTCTCCTAAGTAGTGATAATGAAACTTATTCATTCCCTCACCCTGGGGAAATACTTAAATCACAATATGAGAGATATATGTAAATCACATTTAAACGGAGACAGTGCAGTTAAAGCTAACGGCGAGTAATCACGTTTGAAGATGAAGTGTCCCCTTTTCTGCTCTATCATCTGCTCAGTGAGCTGGGCTGCCACCAGGGCCTCTGCCACCGTGTCACTGTGCCATCGTGCCACCGGTGCCCACCCAAACCCATCCTTCCCACCTCCACGGCGGCCAGCTCCGAATGGAAACTGCCCTGGCTGGGGAGGGAGATGAGTAGGAAAGGAGAATCACGGTTGAAGAGATGACGTGGGATGGGATGGGATGGGATGGGATGGGATGGGTGTGAGGAAGGGGAAGGGATGGGGAAGGGGTAGGGAAAGGGATGGACATGGGGATGAGAAAGGGAATGGGGATGGATATGGGGATTGGGTTGGGATGGGAACGGGGATTGGATGGGATGGGGAAGAGGAAGGGGAAGGGAAAGGGTTGGACGCGGGGATGGGAATGGGGATGAGATGGGGAAGGGTATGGGGACAGAATGGGGATGGGGAAGTTGAAGGGATGGACATGGGGATGGGATGGG